GCGCCCGCCGACGCTGGGCAGTGCCCGGCTTGCACCTGGGTGCTCGGGAGCGCCCTGCGACCTCTCCCTGCCTCTGCCGTCCCGCCCGTCCTTCCCGGTGACGGTGGCCTTCCCGGTCCTCTCGCCTCAGTTCCTTCTACTGCTCAGGCCTTGCGAGAATGGGTGCTCGGGGCTCCGACCTTGGGATTTGAGCGTCTGTTGTAGAAATGGGAGGAGAAGCTACAGCCCAGCAGGTGTTTGGCTCTTCCGGCTGACGCTGCTGCCCCAACCTTGGATCATTTTCATATGAAAAAGAATTGAGAAGATTTTAAAATGAAGTAGCTAGTTGGCCTCGGTGATACATGCCGGTTATTCCAGCATTCGGGGAGGCTGAAGCAGGAAGATAACAAGTTCGGCCCAGCCTTCGCTATTTAGCGACTTAGCTTAGTGTGACCCTGAAATAGCAAGGGCTGTGGCTGTTGCTCAGCACAAAGGCCTTGGGTGAACCAATACAAAAAAGGTGGGGGGGGGGGAAGTGGCAGTTGCCCTGGGTGATGGAGTCCAAAACAGGGTCATATGTTCTTATGCGCCGATAAGGAAACAGCATCAAAAGCATCAGAGTGAGCCGGCTTGCCAGCAGGCAGAACACCAAGAAGTGTTTAGGGTGTGGGGTTTAAAATGTTGCCCCTCTCAGGGGGAAGTTTCAGCGCATGAGTGACAGCGATGTAATTGACAAGGTGCGGAGTCACTCAGCGGTCTTCACGCGTCCCTTCCCAAAAGTAATTTACTGTTATAACTGTATGCACAAGATGCAGTCCATATGCACGCATCTTCAAGGACCTCCCAGTGAAGAAAGGTTACTACAGGTTATCCGGAGGGAGAGGGGTGGTCTGGCGAGTATGCATCCTTTTTTGGAGTATTGAAAATTTTCGGGATAGGCTCAAAAGTCTCTGTTTTTCTTGTCTTTGTCTCCATTTAATAAGCTCAGGACACCGATGGCGAACCTTTTAGAGTTTTCAATGCTACCAAACAGCCTGCTGCAGCAGAGTGCAGGACGAGGGTGCGAGATGAGAGCTGTCATGGGGTATTGCTCAGGTTTAGGAGGGTGGAGGGCAGTGGTTCATAGGCCCCAGTAGTACTATCTACATTATTCCCTCCTGAGAGACCTGGCCCCCCCAAATCTTTAAGGGATGTTGAGTGGGGGTGCCATTCTTTTGCTGAGCAGGGGCTGTGACCCTTGCTATGCAGAGACCATGGAACTCTTGCCCTGCCTGATCTGGTGGCTAAGGTGGATTTTGGTTCTTGGTATCACTGGACTGGGTCTGAGAAATACTCAGAGGAACCTAACTCACCCTTTTGTAGAATAAGTTTTCAGGTTTGCTGACTGCCCTTGTAGAAAAAGAATTTTCAGGATGCTTCTGAAAGAGGCACAGGAAGGGTTTATTAGACTGGGATTTCAGGCTGTATGAAAGAGTGGAGTGCAGGTGCTCAGAGAAATGAGGCACATTCCAGTTTGGAACTGGAATATTTGTGGTTATGGTGGTGGGAATCTGTGGAGTTTGATAATCCAGAGACTTGGTCTGGCCTTGGTCCTGGTCTGTTGGGTAGGGCAAAATGGCCACCCATAAAGATCATCTTTCTGTTTTAGGTGAAGGCCTAATTTGAGGTAAAAGAATGGACAGGTGAAAAAGGACCATTTTCAAATATAAAGGGGATGATTGTGCCATTCGCACATGAAAAGGAATTATTATATACTGGGAGAAGAGAAACAAATTGGGTCTGTGTCCTAAAGCTGCTGTTTTCATTTTTAATATGATTTTCCTTGTCTCCTTTCTCCTTAGTTTTAATTTTTTCTGTAGTACCTCATTTGGCTTGGATCATCATCTGTGTTTTAATAGCTGTTCAATGAGAAGAAACAAATTGGACTAACAAAGTAAGTATGCATGGTCCAAGTAGTGAGGCTGTGAGATGCATTAACAAAGCCCTCATCAAATGAAGTAACCAGAATGCCCAATTCTGGATCTTTGACCAGGGTTCCCACAACTCAGATAGTAGCAGATCTTGATAGAGAAGTCAGCTTGCTTTCGCCTTGTATCTCTCACTATTGCAGACTAGTTGACATAGAAGCAACACTCACTTTGTAGAACCAAATGTGATCCCCCTTTCTCAGCAATCAGACGGTTTCCCATATGGTTTTGTAGATACCCCCTGCCAGTGTATCTCTGCTTCTGGAGGATGACAGTGCTCTGGGCAATTTTGCCTAGACTGTCAGGTCCTTAGATAACTTTGGTAATAGGAGCGGGGAGTGGTTAGTCCTTCTATTCCATTTGCTGTGCCCAGACCCAGTAGGAGAGGAGGGAGTTCTATGACTCACTTGTCTCCTGACCTGGTGGCTAAAGGAACTCACTGGGATTGGTTATTATCCTATGTTGATTTCTGGGGCCAGATAAGCCAGGTTGCATGTTCCTGTCCAGTTTGCTGGAAGATACAAGTAGAAGTTAGAGTGACACTGTAAGAAAAGTACCTGAGTCTCAAAACAGCAATTATTTCCAGTAATAAACCTATGAGTGAGCTGTTTTCATTTTCCCACACAGATAAGGCCCTTGACAACATAACTCTGGTATAGACAGCTAAGTGAGATTGATACCAATGTAGAGTGAGAGGGTGACTGGGCTGTGAAGGAAGTCAGTACAAAAATAAAGACATCAAAATTGTGGCTGGAGGTGCATCTGAAAAAGGCCAGGCCTCAAGATAAAGATGCAGTGGGACTGGGGATTTAGCTCAGTGGCAGCACACCTGCCTCACAAGTACAAGGTCCTGAGTTTGATCCCCGGGACCAAGAAAAAAAAAGGATGCAGTGACCAGGCCTACATGCCTCCATAAGGGTTACACAACAACATGAGATTATACTGGAATTAGCACCACCTGGTTCAGTAAGTCCAGCTAGGTATCAGTCGCCCAGGTGGGTAACTAAAACTCCTGAACCCATTCCTCCCCTAAAATGCCTTTGTTTTTTCCATGTGCCCTCGCTATGTAACTTTTTTTCCCATTGGATCAACATTAATTAAGCAGCTATACCTGTAATCCTGATTGTAGCTTACCCCACACTGTACCCACACTGTGACTTTGCTGTATAAATTGCCCCTAACAAAGGGCCTGGTGCCCACCCATTTGAGACCCCTCCAGGAAGTCCAGGACTTATTCATCTCTCTTTATTTCCAATAAAACTGTCTTAACCTTTTCCTTTGGTTCAAGACTTCATTCCTCAGTGTTGTGGGGACCACGAACTTGGCACAGATGACATCTAATAGGTCAAGAGTTATATTTCTCCTACATCAGCTCCAGTCAAAGTTTGAAAGGGCTCATAAATGTCTGGAGGAATTGTGTAGTTCTATTTTTTCAATGTATAAAATTTATTGCTGAAGGTGGTCGTGCAAGCCTGCAATTCTAGCCCTTGGGAGGCTGAGTAAGGGGATCATTGTAAGTTTAAAGCCAGCATGGATACTCTGGTTTTCCTTCAGATCGTGTGAATCTTTCGCCTTTTTAAAGCCAGCATGAACTAGGTAGTAAGGCCCTGTCTCAAAAAACCAAAAAGAAAAAAACAAAAGAAATTTCTTCTGGTATCTACTAACATTCATTCAACTGAGTTTTTATAACGACACAGAAGACAGTCACTGGTTGGGCTGACAGCAGTCTTCTCATGGTAGATTAGAGAGGTCCCCTTGGCAACATCCTGACCCTTTGTTTTCCTAACCTTAGTGTGTCCGGAGACAGCTTCCATAAGAACCATGCCAAAATTTTAAAGGATATGGCTTGGGTTACCTGCATACTGGCATGGTCTTGTGAGGGCTTTATTTTTAGGATTTGTTTGCAAAGGATTCCTAATGTTCCCAAATCTTGACTCTGGCCCCAGTCTTGAATCTTATACAGAGCAGTGCCTGGAACTTGAGCAACATATGACCAAATATTGGGCCCCCAATAGGTTTTGTGGAAGAAAACTGAGTAAGATTATTTTGTTAGAATTGGAGGAGGGTAGCAGCCCTCAGTGTTGAGGTTACTTTGGTAATTTAATTGATCTGAAAATCATATAGGACATCTAAAAACTGAAAGACATGGGGGTGGAAGGGGGGGAAGGTCATCTTTCCTGTAGCCCAGAGGAGAACTGGGATGGTCACTGGGCTGGGACTGAGAGATTCCGGAAGCCAACAAAAGGAATTTAATTTACCCTTCTGTAGCAGTTCACTGATTTCTATTGTTACGGAAGGAATTGGCAAGTGACACACAGAGGCAGCAGAATGGAAGTAAAACAACAACAATTTACTCCATCAATAGGGGTCGATCGCACATAAGCCGTGCCTGGGTCGATGCTGCACTGGGTTACAACTCCTCCTTTTATAGGATTTCACAGTCTTAACTTCATTTGGGTGGTTACATTTCATTCTCACAGTTCAATCATGGTCACAGGATAGTTAACTTTCAACCCAGGTATAATTCTTTGTAGCTAGGGGTATTTACCTTCAAGATTCGCCTAGTTATCTATCCTAGCCCACAGGAAGCAGGGTGTTCAGGATAAGGGGAGCAAATGTTAGCAATGGGTTCTTTCATCTAGACACTTTTACAATCATGTGGATCCAGTCTCTTCTGAGCTCAAGGTCTTTCTGTGCCCTGTTATCTCAGGGTAAGACCAAATGCCTCAGTCAGCAGTTAATGCCTTCCGGGTCTGTTAGTTCTGAACTAAGCAAAAAAATAAAATTTCTGTTAGAGACAGCAGAAGCCATTTTACAATGTAACACTTTATAGGTTTTTGCTATTTATAAAAGTTTTTCCTATCACCATCACAGAAAAAGAATTTTCAGGATGCTTCAGTAAAAGGCATATGAAAAATATTTATTAGAGATTTAGGACACACTCAAGTGGA